TGTGCATTTTTATCTGACCAAATACAATACGGTAAAACTCCCACTAATGTTTCTGGCTGCACTGTTCAGAGTTCTGGAAGTTGCTCGATGGTACAGTTAAGCATTCCAACAACCAAACAAAAGATTGGTGGTATGAAACAAACTATAGGAGCCTCAGTAAGAAAGGTCTGGCAATCACCTGAAATAGTACAGACACTGAAAGCGCTGTGGAGCACAGCACTACTCTGAAACAGAAACGAGCACCTTGAGAGTTGGCACCGGCTCAATGGTCACTGGTTTGTGTTTGTTACAATTTTGCTGCTGTTTTCACTGTGGGAAATAGAAATATAGTTTCTCACAATTAGGAGGCTAGAAATCCAAAATCAGAACGTCAGCTGGGGAAAGCGTGCTCTGTGACAGGTTCTTCAGGCGGGCTCTTCGGCTTTTACCCTTGACTCCTTGGCGATCTTTATGTGGCATCGATCTATTTCAGCCCGCTTGTCGTTTGTATCCCCTGTGCAGCTGACTTCAGACACAACCTACAGAAAGACTGACTAATGTGACAACTAAAACTCTGTTACCAAATAGAATTTAACTGTAGGTAAAAGGGGCTAGGAATTACAACATATATTTTAGGGGAACATATTTCAACCCCAAACAGGGAGAATATAGTCCTCCCCAAACCTAGGAAAGGGGTTCAACTGCAGGGCATCCAAAGAATAACAGAAGTTCCCAGAGAGACACATGTAGCAAGGGACACACACAGAATTACTTGGTTCCAGTTTTAATAGCTCAGAATTTAGAGCAGAAAAATGACTGAATAAAATTATCTTAGCATACTGCAAAAATGAATTAATGCTTAAGTGTGTACAGATTAAAATGGAATGTTTATCCTTCTAGGTGTTTTCATAAGAATATACAAGCATATATTAATATATGAGGAAGCTTCAAAAGGTTTATGGAAAAAATTACATTATCTTTTCTATTTTTCCACTTATTTTTGAAGCGCCTTTGTACAAATATTTAAATATCAGCTATTTAAAAATATATATTCACATATACATACACAATTTGTTTTTAATACACAAAACAATATGAAAGTTTCCATCACTTCACAATACACCAGGAACATTTCTCCAAGTCATGGTGTGTATGTGTGTGTCAACATATGTATGTTATGTCTGTATAAAATTTTCCTAATATATCATTTTCCACTCTTTCATTTAATAATCCATTAATATATTAATTCAGCAAGTTTTTATTGAGAGCTCATTACGTGCCAAGGTAACCAGACAGTGGGTAGAGGGTACCATAATACACTGTGGGTGCATTAGGTCACTGTGGATATTTTTGTGGTATTATAAACTGTGTTATTAACAATATCTTCATATTTTTCTGCTAATTTTGAGAATATTTCTGGAATTAAAATACCTAGAAGTGCAATTACTAATTCAGGAACAAAAGATTTAAAGTCTGACATGTATGAATTAATTACCTTTCAAAAGGTTAAATACCATTTTGTTGTCTGTTGTGAAACCAAAAAAGTCAAACTCACTGCCATCAATTCGTCGACTCATAGTGACCCTATGAGACATGGCAGAATCGCTCATATGAGTTTCCTACACTAGAAGTAACTCTTCATGAGAGCGGAATGCCCCGTCTCTCTCCCTCAGAGTTGCTAGTGGTCTCAAACTGCAGAACTGCCTAATTGCAGTCCAATGCATAGTCACTATGCAACCAGGTCCCCATCATCACTAGAGCTCCTTTCTGTTGTTAGTTGCCATCAAAATACGGCCGGGTTCTGCACCCTCCTCACAATTGTTATGCTCAAGCCCATTGTTGCAGTCAGTGTGTCAACCCATCCCCTGGAGGATCTCCATTCACCGTCTACTTTACCAAGTGGGAGGCCCTTTGCCAGGACTGGTCTTTCCTGGTAACATGCCCAAAGCGTGTGAAACAATGTCTCACACTCCTGACCTCTCAGCAGCATTCTGGTTGTATAGCATTTTATGGTCCTACAGTTAGGGCATAGAGCTTATTTCTCCTCATACTTATTAACAACTAGTATTTTTGTTTCTTCCAATCTTAATGCGCTCATTGTTGTAACTTACTGAGTTGAAAATCATCCATAGGTTTATTCAGAATCATTAATTATTTTTCCATTGTTTTCTTTTTCTTATTAACTTTAGGTAAATATGATGCATTATAGTTACTAATCACCTCTCATACTGAATTCAAATATATTTCTACCCATCTACTTTTACATATGGAATAAATATGAGGTTTTCTACACCTGTTAAGGTGTAGTACAGTCTCTGAAAGTCAAAGAGCAGTTCTGTTTTGTTCTATTGGAGTTCGAGTCAACTTAATGGCAGTGCGTACAGGTATTATTTTTATTTTTAATTTCCCTTCTTTCATGCAGTTAAATGTTTTATCCTTCCTTCTAACATTACTAAAATTAATGCTACAGTAGTAAAAAACCTGACATAGTATGTACAAATCAGTACCAAAAGGCCATGAGCACTTGAGATTTATCAAGATTATTTTCATGTAGATGCAGCTTACAAAATATATTTCCTGAACCAGAACTTTTTGAATTTCCAAATTTCATATCTAAAGTCTCTAAGTTACTGATTCTCAAAAAAAAGGTGTAGTCCACTTACAACATAGAAATAAAGCAAAAAAACCTCTTAAAGTAGCAATCAATTTTCCAATTTACTTGAAAATATACACTAGAGGATAACATATTTTCATATTTAAGATTTTCTTACGATTTTTGTCATAAAAGTTTTATCATCTACTATTTCTAATCTATTGGAAAGCAAGGTCTAATGACAAAATTAAGTGAACAAATAGAATTTGGTACAGAAGGAGAAAAAGTGTTTAATTAAAAATAATGCCTACTTGGAAGATATTCTTTACTAGAATGCATGCTTTTGTTTACGGCTTTATTTTACATTCAGGTGCTCATCTACATAAATCATTCTGATAACCATAGATTTAAAAAAACAAACAAACCATGACTACTGAAATGCTTCGGAATCTGTTTCCTACAAATTAACAACTGGATTGGGGACATAGACATCATATTAATCTTTCAATCATTTATCAAATAGCTGTAGTTCTCATTTTGCATGCATATTATGAATTAAGAAAGACTTTCCTAAACTGAAACCAAAAATTCTAAGAATGTTTACTCCATAAAGTACATGTGTAGAGTCTATTCTAAACCATGGTTAACTGTTTGCTAAAAGCTCACTGATTTTGCATATTCAAAATGTTTTTGGAGTTTAAAACACAGATAAAGGTCCAGAGCTTTTCTTTTTTTAGGAATAATATCAGGAAGCAATGTGGTAAACTCTGAAATACAGATTAAAATATTATAGAAAATTGATGGTTGTACTTATTCTAAATTGGTTCACAAGAAATATTAAAAATAATAAGGATAGAAATTAAGAATATATATATATATATATATATGATGGGGGAGAAAGAAAATCATATGTTCAAAACTAGTAAATATAGGTGATGGTACACAGAAATAAATTGTATATTCTCATTAATTTTAATATATTTGAAAAATAAATTTTAATGAAGAGTTTGAAAATGTATACACAAAAAATTGTGAGGTACTCATACAGTACAGCTTATGTTGTTTTCTTTTAGGACACACTCATCCTGGACAGGACACGTGGGGTTACGCTCTCCTTTCCATTGCAGCCGCTGAACCCTGACCATGAACGCAGTGTTTACACAGGGAGCTTCTTCTCCAGCACCCATTCCCCAACCGCCACACCGCCTACACTGCTTCACCATCCTGCTCCCATTCAAAGAATTAACCTATAGTTTGAAGCCCAACAACACTCTTCTGGATGAAAGCACACATTTGCAATGCAATTGTTATCTACATCAAATGTTGCACCTACAGCGAGAATGGTGGCATAGCCAGTTCCTATTGTAAAACAGTTATAAAGCAGTTAAACATCTTCTTTTGAATAAATGTTTTAAAAATTAGCCAATCCTAACACACTCTTGAGTAAATTCATAACCTCTCAAAGAGTGAATGAACTGAGAAGACATCCATTTTACAGCAAGTTTTCTTTGCATCATTTTAATTATTCTCAATATTTCTTTGCACACAAGCTTTTCTATGGAATCTAACTTGATCAGCATCCTTAACACAGAATCTTATTTTTGTAGCACGTAAATAAGTGTCTGGGTCATCAAGATATTTTACATAACAGTAAATCTTTAGGATTCTTCACTTTCACTGGCTAGCAAACCAAATCCTGGGTCCGTATGCAAGAGACTCACTCTCAACAGCCTACTGAAGCAAAGTTGTCAATATCAGCAACTGTCACACTGGAAGATAACATAAGCAGAATGGCAGGAACTGTACTAAATTGGCAAGCTCCTGCCACAACTAACATAATTCCAGCTTATTGTTCCCAAGGGGAAATGTATACCAGAATTAGAAGATATTCTCATTATTCAAATTAAATCTGAAATTCATGCAACACTTTGGAAAATGTATAAGGGTTAGCAACATCACAAAATAGCATGTGACCAAACTAATTTATGTTCCTCCATCTATTCCCAGCCAGGATCACAAGATTGCAACTTTGGTTAAAGCCATTATACATGTTCAAAATGCTAGTTTTAGTTCAGTGATAGAAAAGGGCACATTTTGATTGAACTGAACTGTTTGTATCTTATTTAATGTGTGAAAATCATGTTAGTTGGATTTAACATTTTAAAATAATCATTTAATATTTTAAAATAATAAACTCATAAAAATTAATCCTTTCCCAAAAAAAGGTCAGCTATCTCAAGAAAAAGTTATGCTATTAGTAAACCTTTAAATTACAAATTTATATTCTGTGTGCATGCATGTATGTGTTGGTGTGAAAATTATTTTTCACTTTTTTAGATTTAACACAAGGAAAACACCCAAAAAGCAAGGGTTGAGTTTACATCTAACTGATTTTACATTCAATTTTTTTTTTACTACAAATACTCACCTAAGGATGCATAAACAAATTTGACCTCCTGATGTGAGTCTGCAGAATCCAAATCTCTGTTTACTTTCGATGTCTGTCAATACAAAAGTAAAGTGCTGTCCAACTTGATTTTGAGACACCCTAAAACACAGTAACATTAGGAAACATTAAACCTTGGGTGAGAATTTTCTTGGGAGAATATAGCAGACCACATATCTAAGTGGCATTGGTTTCACCTTACCAATCAGGTGACTTTGAGAATCAGAGTAATGCTCTAACTAAAATGGATGTGAAGTAAGTACACAAACTCACCAAATGCTTTATTACCAAAGCAATTCAATGCTTTGCTTTTGCAATTCAAGCAATGCAATGCTTTGTTAACAGAGCAATTCAGCATAAACTTAGTCCTTTTCAAGAAATTGTGTTAGTTTGTCAAAATTTCACATCTGAAAATTCTGATAAAGTATTTTATAACTCCTCAAAATAATGATCACTGGAACTTCAAATGAAAACTAGACATAATGACTAAATTATTTTCCTGGACTCTGGCCTTTCGGTCTGATTATTCTAAGACCACTAAGAGAGGAAACAATATTTTTCAGAATCTATAGGTAACCACCACCAACTATGTTTAATTTCTTGTCACATTCTCACTGAATAAAGAGCCAACCCCTTTCCAAAAAAGGAGGAAGGAGGGGGGTATTTTTCTTAGGGCCTTTTTTAGAGCAACTAGATACAGAGGAATAAATTTCTAAGTTAAAAAATAAAATATAAATTCTAAGAAAGAATAAACTTAGTAGCTAAATGTAATATATATATGTGTGTGTATGTGTGTGGGATAGTTTTGACTAAGTTTCATACTACCATGATAGAACCAAAACACCCATGCTCACTGCCATCCAGCAAACACTGACTCATAGCAACCCCACTCTGGGTTTCTGAGACTATTACTGTTTACAGGAGTAGACAGTCCCATCTTTCTCCTGTGGAGCTGCGGGTATTTCAAACAGCCAACCATGCAGATCGCAGCCCAATGGGTAACCACTATACCATGATATTGCCATATAATGTTTTAAAGGATAACAATATTGACTCTATTTATTTAAAATATATTTGTTATGATTATAATGGCTCTAATTTGTATCATTCCACATGTGTAATCGGCTCCTTTGTCTGAAATTAAAATTTCAATGATTAATCGTTTTGAAATAAAGGAAAAATGAAAGAGGAATTAAACTATTTTACTATTGATCTGCAGATAGTACAAACTGCTTTCAACTGTCTGAAAATATTGCATATCAAATGCTAAACATTTCAAATGCTATACTTTTTAAAGTGAACATTTTAAAATAAAAACAAAAATAACTTTTAAAACATTCCCCAGTGCATATTATGCTCTCTTGTGACTGATATTCAAAATATCCTTTCATATTTTTTGTTCATTTGATCCTTCCTATTTACCTAACACAGCAACTTTAGAGGGCATGGCTGATTGTACAGCAGTGAGGCCAAGCAAGGAATGCAATTTAACAGCAACATTTATTAGTATCAGCCATCCTGTCTTTCAGAAGTCTTCATCTGTGGTATAATGAAATTTCAGATTCTGACTAATCTTTCTTGAGCAAAATATTTTCCCTAAAATCAAATTTTCTTTGAAAACCTCCTCTTAATACACTCTTTAAAAATGGATTATAGGGTGTGAAAATCCCACGAGAAGCAATAAATGATCCGTTACTATGCTCAAAGGACTGCATACTCTGCAATGCCGAGTAAACGCAAGGAGTCCGCCCTTGGTACAGTGCTCGCTGAGCGAAACGCAACCATAATGAGACAGTAATACTGCTAGATCTCCCTATACTCTACCATACTGCACTGGTCCGATGCAGCTATGCTTGGGAGACAAGTAGCAATGAGTTTTACAGTATCACGCAGATGTTCTTTCCAATTAGAGTAGAGTGAGAAAGAACCAGAGTATACAGATTTAATGTTTAAAACTATAATTCTAACAGTACACTCAAGAACTGATTTACTTTGGGTGTTAGTTTGGTTTGATTTTGCTGTTAATGCTTACAATATGCACCTGAAGAACAAAGGGAAGACACAGAACTTAACGACAGTAGGGCTTTAAGTTGTCTCAGTGATGAGAATAGAGAAACAGATAAAATTATTTTAAAAGCATCCTCATTCCAAGTATCATTTCATTTTGAATCTCTAGCCTTTTTTGTTAGAAGCAGGGAAGTATATTACATTTATTTTTTAAAAGAGCATGCAATAATTTTTAGGTGTGCACTAAGATGATCTGGTGTTATTTTAAATGATGACTTCATACTGTACCTTTCAACGTCAAAGGGAAAACAGAATTTTGGCACACTCTGCAGTACTTCCTAAAACACAAATTAAAAAACAAAACAAAAAAAAAACTTTAGAACATTTTTAGAGATGCAAGTTAACATTTTTGAGACATTTTCTAGGAAGAAAAAAGATTTTGTTTTTGTTTTTTTCTTTCCCTTAAGAAAAAAATTGCACAGGTTCCTAGACTAAAATAATTGATTATTAAAAAGGAATTAAGTTTGTGCTTTGGCAGATTGCACTGACAATGCCACGGAAACCCCAGGAGGGAAAGGCCTGGCCTGAAGGGTATTAACACCCTTCACATCCCCGCTGGGATTCCCTTCAACAAGGCCATATGGATTTTACAAGAAGCACTGCACCATATGGGTAAGCTACGTCTGCTGCTACTTGTACCACAGACTAGCCACAGGGACTTCTGACAGATTCTGGCTCAAAAATATAAATGTTGTTTCAATTAAAATGCAGGCAGAGAAAGGGGAATGAAGTTGGCAGCAGAATGAATTACTAAGAGGTATAACAACTCTACATATCCCACAGTCAATGGTTAAAAAAAAAGGACTTTCTATAGTTAAAGAAACAGCCATTTATATGAACCATTCAACCCTTGAAACATTCAAAACATTTCTTTTTTGTCTCCAATGACATTCTTAAACAAATGTGTACCTAAAAGCAAAACTTTAATTAAAACAGCACAGCATTATATTTTGTGTACTTTAAGAACTGCGTAAAACAAAAATCAAAATTTCAATTGATCACAGAAAATGCCATTATTGGTTTTGAAACTTATGATCATGTTACAGTCATTATAACATAATATTAAAATTTTTATATATCATAGACATTAACAACACAGCTAAGTGAAATATATACATATATATTTCTATCTTAAAAACACCATAAGAGTAACTGCAATTCAAAACATAAATTAAAAGTTTAGTACTGAAACTAATAACCAGGTTACTTTACAAGGTAAAGCAAAGAGTTATGAAAAGGTTTCATGTTTAGAGGGGGGAAAAAGTCCGAATGCAGCAGTACTAACAACTAAAATGATAAAAAAAAAACGACAACACTGTAGTCACTATCTTTTTCACCAATAAAACTAACACCCAGAGACATCATCAAAATCTAAATATTGAAACCATATATGCAAATATAGTACTGAAAGTATTAAAATAAAATTTCCAAAATTCTTTTTAAATGTAGACTGCAATCAATTATCAACAAAAAGTGAAATACTGTTGTATTATAATAACAATGCCTAGGAAATCATCAAGACCCTTAACTCACTGAAGGGGGGTGAGAGCAGCCTTCTATCATTAGGACTGGCTACCCTGATCTGCTTATGAACATGTACCATTCAAATGAGCACAGACTTCATATTTAGAGGAAGCTGGCTGCATAACTACTGACAATATTTTGTTAAATGTAATTAAAAGAAACACTAACCTTGAAATTACTTGAAATGTTTAGATTGAAAACAGCTCATTACACATGACAATAAATAGTTCATTTGATCAAAAAAAATAGTTCATTTGATCACTGTGCAGAGTAAAGTGAAGTAATTTATCATATTTGCTACGCACATGAACACTACTTAGATATCTCCCTATAAAATTAATTACAGAATTACTGTGGCACTAAAGAACAGCCAAAATTCAATGTCCCCCTCTAAATATAGACAAATTAGTAATGTCTTTCACATCAATTTTAAGACTCAAAGGGAATGCTCCCCAGTTAGATGCTCAATCTTCCACGCGCACACCCCCCCCCTTCTTTCCCAACACACATGCACACACTCCTGAAAAACAGCTTCAGCTCGCTTCCCAACTGGCAGAAGCATCCCTCAGGGGACAAGTCTTTAAACCTCCGCACTCTTTAAAATTCAACCAGCCAGCAGGTCTATAGACTAGTGTATAAACAGTATAGACAAAAAAATCCTCTCTCAGCTTATGTCAGTGACAAAGCAGCTCAGCAGTTGACTGTTTCTCCCCTGACAGTATAAGCTGGGTTTACACAGATCAATAGCTGGAAGTCCTACCTAGCTCCCAGGGCTCGATTTTCTTCCTTAATTACAGGTGCTATTCAAACTGAAGTTAAAAAAGAAAAGAGAGAGAAAGAATGGGAGGGAGGAATAAGATGCATGCAAATTGCTTTTGGGATCTTTTTAGCAACGATATTTCATTGAAATCGTATTTTTACATTTATTGGGAAAAGTTAATAAAGACTGTTCCTTCTACCATGCAGTATTTTTTATATAGCACATACAAGGAGATTGCAAAAGTTCATGGGAAAATTCCATTATATTTTAGTTTCATATTTCCACAAACTTTTTGAAGCCCCTTAATGTACATGCAAAAAATAATAATAATCAAAGTTGCATTGAAATATTATGGGATTGGTTTAGTATATTTCAGAAATTACCAGCTTCTCCTTTCTATATATATTTTAAGGGAAGTACCTAATTTTCTTAATAATACAAATTATCTGGGTTTCCAAACGCCTCATTTTCTCCAAAATTTTTTATTTTTATTCCAAAAAAGAAATAACCATGTGTCAATGTTAAAATCAAAACAAATGAAAGTGGAAAATATACAAATTATAAATAATAAATTAGAAGGGATAACAGCATTAATATATCTTTAAAACAACAAATTTCCATTCATGTTAATGTCTAAAAACAAGGATAAATGAAAATGTATACACTGCTATTTGGTCCCATATCAGTATAATAAGCATAAACTTAAATCTGTACAAAATAAAGAGTTAACGCTAGGGATTGAGTAGCATATTAGCTATATCCCAAGATTTAGCACTACACATTGATCAAATAAAAAGGGATCAAGCATTCAAAAAAGAATTGAATATTTTAAGATTTCTAAAGATTACCTTCTAATCAAGGTTAAATAACGATAGATCTTAGAATTTTTCTGGAAAAAAAATCTACACTTAAATAAGATGTGTCACTGTAGAAGTCAGAAATTACTTTTCCTTCCTCTCAGCTGTTCTTTTTCTACCATACACTGAAACACTGGTGTGCTCTGAGGATCAATATTTTCCTGTCTTGCCTTCTCAGTCATGTATACTATACCAAGGTATTCTCATCTATACCCATAATTTCAACTATCACTGCTATTGAATGAATACCAAATTTCTTAGTCTTATATAGTTTAAACATCACTGTATACCTCCAAGGTTATAAAACGAACTACCAATTGGCACCAATTTTCTAAATGTTCACCAGACACTTGGAACTTAAAATGTCCAAAACTGAAGTCATTCTTTTAGTTATAGTCCTTACTGTACTACAATTCCATAAGTATCTTATTCCTATGATGCTCAATGGGGCAAAGAAAACTAGAAGGTAACAGGACCACTTGAAACTGTTTTTTCAAAAGTACATTTGATTGTCTGTACATAAACTCAATTCCTACATGGCCCCACATGAGAACTGAGTCCTAAACATCAGTTGTAATGTAATCAACCTATGCATGTCAGTTAGGATGCTTGTTATATAAGAGGAGGCCTCAAAATGTTCATGGAAAAATGTGTAAAATACCCCCACACACACACACACACACATGTCCTATGACATATTTGGCTGGCAGAGGGTGCAAACATATACTGGGTGCCTCCCAGTTTTCTCCTTTTACCTTTTCTTTCCCTTCCCTTTTTAAACATCTTGTCTCTGCTTTCCTTCTGTTCTCCTTCTTTCCCTCCTCTTCTTTTCCTTTTCTCTCTATTTCTTCTTTCAAATTCTATCTTTTCTTTTTCTTCTTCTTAGTTTTAATTAATTTCTTTCTTCTTTTTCATTGTTTACATTTTCCATGTTTCTTTGTTTGCACTAAGATTTTTTTCTTGCTGTTCTTTACCTGACTTCCCTAATCTTTTTTCCCTTTATTATTATTATTTGCTCTTGTTTTTGTTTTCTTTTCTTGTTTTTTAGAGAAAATAACCATGCCCACTTGGCCCAATCACATCCATACCTCCTGTAATACCACCTATTAAGGGCCACCACCTGCTTCTGTACCATGTGATCAATAAACAGTAACAGACACCAGCCTCAATTGTGCTACAAGAACAGTAAACAGAACTGTGTATTCACTCATTGTAGACCCACCAGGATGGTGAGTGCCTAAGAATTCTCCAACATGAAATCATAAATACAAATATAATGACCCCACCATATCTCAAAGGCAACACACAATTTCACTTTGCATGAAGAAATGGAACAGTAGCTCAAACAAGTGACCAAAACACAGTCAGCAGACCTTTCTAAGACAGCAATAGCATTAGAACTACATGATAAATAATTCACATACACAGCACTTAAACTCCTTCAGTGAATTGCCAGAAAGGTCAATGAAAATAAGAAAAAAAAAATCAGGAAAGCACTAGGATAACAAACTAAAAAAGTAAATTTTAAATTGTACACAAAGAATAAATAAAAATCTAAGTGATTAATGCTATGATTTTGGAAACAATTATTGAAAAGGCAAAGGTGTAGAATTGAATCAATGGAAGGCTGGACTAGTAAACTTGAAAACTCAATATTAATCCGCTAAAGGAAAAAAATTTTTTTAATGTTTTTATTTGAAGAAAGTCTAAAAATTACCTGGGACAAAATCATGAGTAATAATTTACATGTGATCTGAATTCTAGAACAGGAAGAAGTAAAAAAGGCAAACAAAATTGTCCAAGAGTTGTCTGAAGAAAACTTCCATAGCACCATGATAGATGTTATACATTCAAGAAGCTGAATGAACCCTACACAGACTGCCACAAGAAAACCATCAAGATAGATTATTAACCAAACTTTCCGAAACAAAAGACACAAAAAAACTACTAGAGCATCTCAGGACAAAAGAAGTTACTTACAAAGGGAAACCAGTAAGATGAAGCTCTGATTTCTTAATAGAAACTATGGAGGAATAAGGCAATGGGAAGAAAAATACAAAATTCTGGAAGAAAAAAAAAACCCAACTCAAAATCATATAACTAAATTACCATCTAGTATGATATTTCTGCCTAAAAA